TAAAGCACTTATGACAGCTCTGATACTGAGAACTCTTTTCAAATATTCTGTGTCCATCTAATAAGCAATGCCACATTCTCTATAATATTGCCATAAGGACAGTGTTTTGAGCTTTTTCTTTCTAAACATGACTCCTACATTTTTTAATTGTAAATATTCTTTGACTGTTTTTCATTATAATAATATTTCATAATAATATAATAATATATTATATTTATATAATATTATAATATAGTATAATAATGTTATTGTAATATAATATTAAATTATGGTATATAATAATTATATTATAGTGATATAATAATATTTCATTATAACATATGTTTGATATTTTCTTGGAACTTCATTTCTAGGAACATTTTATAATTCAACTTTTGGATAAAGGTAACATTTTTTGCTTCTGTTATCACTAATACTCCTATAGTCTGAGATCAAGCAGTTAAAAAGTTACTGTTTGGAAAAGATTTTAAGATAAGCTTCTTATTGGTCAGAATATCAGAGGCTTTACTTCCACTGGGTTTTAGAAATTGTCTTACAGTTGTATTTAAGACCTCTGAAAATGGATGCAGGTAAATAATTTGGCAGTGCACAGAGATAAGCCATATTAAACCACTATTTTCAAACATCCCTTAGACTAAGGGTTTATTTTACACTGCTGCTCACCTTTGCAGTCATCTGCATCTCTGTGAATTCCATGTGCCCATTCTAATCCAGCAAACGTTCAGCTTGCACCCACTGAAACAAATCATGCACTGGGGAATATTGATAATGCTTCATTACCTTCAGCAGAAAAAATCCTCTGTTTTGAATTGGCTGAGTATGCCCTCCCCATTTCCTTTAATTTTTGAAAAATAACATTGAAATCCCTCCTTGATGGGGCCAGAACCCCCCTGCACCAGTAGGTAATTTTATTGTGCAATCTGTTTAGCTGTGAAAGCAAAATACTGAGTAATTTCTGATAATTGCTTTGCATTACAGGAGCAAAGAACACTACCTTTTTCAGCTCTAATTGCAGTGCAGATCACCTGGTTTACTGCCTCTAGCTGAATCTCCTAATTGCCAAAATGTTTTAATTATTATGTAGTTTTGAAATGAACATAATATTATGACAGCTGTTTCCAATACAATGAACAGCAGCTGAACTGCATAACCACTCACTGCATGGAGAAAATCCCTTCCAGGATTTTGGGTCTCTCATCATTCAGCTCCATCCTTCATATCATGACTAGCTCAGGGGATTTTTTTTCCTCTGCCAACTGCTGTTCTTCAGTTCTAGGAGGCAATTGCTGGTAGGATTTGCAGACAGGTATGATCACCTCTGTACAGTTCACTGGCTCATTAATGCTGCCTGCTTGGGCTGCTGCTGGGGGAGTGCAGAGATGTGAAGAAGGCTGAGATCTGACATACTGAAAGGAAAAGAGCTGCTGCTTTTACCCAGTGTGGATCTTGGTCATCTTGGAGAGCTGTGTTAAAACTCACAGGCAAATAAGGGAAAGGTGTCCCTGTAATGGGAGAGCTCATGGCTGTAGCTGTGAGCACTGCTTTAAATATTGATCAGTGTTCAGAGCAACAGCTGTGGGCACATCAGGTGGTTTATAGCTTAAAAAAAATTACAAAGGAGTGACCTACATCACCTTGTGCCAAAATCTACTACATGATACAACTGTTTTTAAAACTCCACTCCTGCAACTGTTGACTGTATCAATCCCTATGTGTTTCCTTATAAGTGCTATTAAATGTAGCTGACACATCTTTCATGATCAGAAAGGCAGGAAAATATGGGAGCTGTTGCTGTGGAGCTGTTCATGGTGTAAAAGCTAAGGGGATAAGGTAACAACCTTTTGATTTTTCCCTTAAATATACACTAAAGAATTTGTTTCATTGGCAAAATTCTGCTTCTGGAAGAAATCTAGTCACTGAGTTAGGTGGTGAGAAAGGTCCAGCTTGATTCAGCAAAGGGACTGAACAGGTTCTGTTCATGTGTTCCCTGTATGCTTAACCTTACACAAGTAACTAGATCTAGTAAAACCAATCCTGACACTGACCTATCTACCATGCAGATATCTGGGGATTTGTTTCATTTTTCAGAAATTATTATAGAAAAGGTTAGTGGAAACTGCCTGGTCACTTGCTTTATATCTGTGAGTTAAGTATGCATTTGCAGCACCTTCTCAAGCTTCCATCCAGATTGCCTGATGTGGAATTGCTCCTTTTGTCTCTCTGTAACCTGAGAACAGTGAGTGCAGTGCACAGAATAACATTCTAACTACCACCACTGTTGTTTGAAATATATTTTGTGCTTGTACTTGAACTACAAACCCAGAGTCAAAGCAGCTAATCTGGAAGATTATTCCCCAAGAGATTTTTACCAGACAGTGTTTTACAAAGATGACACTGAAAGGTCAGATACCACATAGTTCTCTAAATCTGTCGTTGTATCATTTTAACTTTTACTAACTACTTCCTCTCATCTAAGGGCTGCAAAGTCATAATGGTTTGGTTGTCAGTAAGGTGAAAAACATGTTAAACATCATCTTTGTTATTCTTTTTTTGTGGGAGTGCACTGTCTCCAAGCAGATGAAAGGGAAAGGAGTGTACTGACTCTCTGGTTTCACCTTTTCCCTAGCACCTGGAACAGGAAAATACCCTGGTCATTTCCACAGAAAATAGAAAATGGTTTTCCCAAATTTCTGCACAGCAAAGGGCTTTTCTTGTTACCTGTGTGTTTTACATTGTAAAAACAAAATCATACTTAGAGCTCAATCTTTCCAGGAAACTGGAGTAAGCAGTGAAGAAAATTAGCAAATTTTGGAAAAAAAAAAATAAAAAATAAAAAAGCTTTACTTTTAGAGAGCAAATTGGATTATTTCATATTTGCCCCAGGCTAAGACTGTGTGGAAAATCAAGACCTTTGCTTTGGCTGACACATGGCAATTTATTAACCCACTGTAATTCAGCAGCATATGGGGATGAAAGGGAAAGGAACAGCAACCTGGGAGCACCTGGAGGTCGCAGAAACTTGGGCTGAACTGAAGTTTGGTGCTACCAAGAATAAAAATTCCGGTGACCTATCTTCAACCTCCTGGATACTGAAAATCAAAAACCTGTGAGCCAAGATGGACTTAATGCTCATGTTCACACTTTCACAATGTTTATCCTATGAGAAGGTGACACCTGGTTGTGCTGGTACTCTGCCATCCTCCCGACACTAGCCACTGCCCAAGCCCCACATTTGAGTGCAAACAAACTTCAGGATCTGTCACTATCAGCATCTCTAAATTTTACTGACATTCTCTAAGCCCCACAAAGTACCTCTGAGAGCATTAGGCCTATGGATTTTCCCTTCAGAAGCTGGATAAGGTGAGAAATATAAATGTCCCGAGCCAGACAGAAAATAACTTGTTGGCAGAGCCTGGGGTGGAAATCAAGTCTGGGAAGTCTAGCTACCCCCCCTTTCTTGATCTCACTACATTTTCACATGCTGAAAAAAATTCCCCTCACAGGCATCTCTGGAATTTCTTCAATTGCACTATACTCATCAGCTAGCAATTTAAACAAGAAAGCTCTTGCAGAGAAAGTTATTAGGCTATTAGGGAATAGGTCAGAGAGTAAATTTTGTCATGGAATATGTTTAGAGACTTTTTTATTATGATTATTTCTGCAGCAGGTTCTTGAAATTGACAGATACTCCATTTTCCATTTTCCTCTCTCTACCAGGTACCCAGCAGCTTGTGACCCAGATGCAGCATTGCAGACCCCTAAGGTAGACGTGGAAAGCTGTTTCCAAATGAGTTCATTTTGTAGCTATTTGACAAATGTTTAATAATTATCTAAGCAAATCAGTGCTTGCTATCTACTGCTTATGAAATGAAGCCCAACTACATATTTAAGCCCCTTGAAATGCAGAATCTCACTGACAAGACGTAGTGATTTTCCAACTGATCTATGTATGTATTCACTCAGAACTGCTTAGATAGAACTTCTTTTGGGGAGAAATGACTTTCTCAAAACCAATTCTAAGAAGGGCAGTCTTGACTGCCATTTTTGAAATAGCTCTGGAAGAAAATTGTGTGTTTGCTAAATTCCTTCTGCTTTTTACAGGAACACAATTTTTGTCTTCTGTTAAGGGAACTCTTACTACAGTAAAGTCTACTCTGACTGTTTAATTCATTCATTCTAGAACACATTGCATAGAATTGTGTCCAGATGGTTCTTTGGTCTCAGTGAAGAGTACTCCATAACCTCTTTGGGAAATTAGTTCCATTTTCTGTTTTCTGTTGTTGTCTTAGAATAAGCCAATAGGTTGGAATGAAGGATGTGGAAAATGCCTAATCAGACAAGCTGTGAACCCCAGATGGCAGAAAACAGTGGAGATAGGACTTACAGGCAGCAACAAATTGCAGGGAGCTGGACTTGATTTTCCCACAGGAGCTTACACTCAAACTCATTTTGGCTTCAGTTGGAGTTGTGGGTGTTCAGAGCTTCTGAAATCCATCCTCCCAAATTCACAGGCCAGGGATTGCAGCACTAGCTCAGCTCAGAATAGCTCTCAGGAGGTCTGACTCATGGTCTCTTGCTCTAATTGCCAGACATTGCAGAGTTTGCAGGGAAATTACTATTGTTATTCAGGAAGGGTGTATTTAACTGTATATATAGATCCATATGCTTGACTAGTGTAAATTGCAGTAATTCCATTGACTTCCAACAGCTGAGAATCTTATCTTTACATTTTATTAACAATTCTCATAAAATTCTAACTATCTGAAAGAAACTAGGCTTGCTGGTTAATGGTTTATGATTCCCTCTCCCATCATTACCACCTGTCCAGTCCCAGCTAATATGTATAAACAGACTTACCATCATGCTTTCTAATTAATACCTGCCTTTTGAAATTGATTCACAGGTTTGATCACAATCCTTTCCTGATGCTGCAGCTAGTAATTATCACTGGGAAGTAATGAGTGTATGAGCAAGAGAGATTAGAAAGAGTATTTAATTTCTTTTTTTTTTTCTTTTTTTCTTTTTTTTCTTTTTTTATGTTTTGTATGTGGATTCATTGTTTAAAATACAAGGATGAACCTCCAATGAGGAAAGCACTCAAGCTTATTAGGAGTACACACATGCTCCTAGCAGTAGTTCTTTAAACTTGTGAATAGATGCTTACTGTAAACAATGTCCCAGTTACAGAAGTGAGAAGTGATGCCCTGAAGGGCATTCTGTAGGTGGAAGCCCACAAATCATAACCCCTTGTTTGTATTTCTCATTGCACTAAAAGAATACATGCAGCTATTAATTGCTTATACTAAAATATGGAATATGGTGGCTTCTTTTTCATGGATTCTTTTTGGTGTGGTTCCTATTTCAAAATAATAATCCAATTGCATACTTTCTTCTGAGAGAAAAAATTGGTTGTTTTATGCAACATGAAAGCAAATGCTTACTAATGACATAATGCAGTTCACTGTAGCATGCAGTACTTGGTGTTTGCTCAAGTTAGTCCTGGAAACTTGGAGTAAAAGACAAATTTTTAACAGCTCTCTGTAGCAAATGCAGGCATAAAAAAGTGCTCTGCAAGCAAATTCTGAATAACAAATTACTGCCACTTCTTCCTTCTTCCTCACATGGGCATCTTCAGCACAGATTATGGGAGGGCAGATAGAGCAGCTGCAGAAGGAAAAATCCCACTCATTTCAAAGAGGCCAAAAGTTGAAATGTTGAGGCTGCTTTCATTCAAAGTGAAAATATGGCTCAACTAGAAAGGGACCAACATTGTTTCCACAGGGTATGGTTTTATTGCTGTTGACTTTCCTTTTTTCATGTCAACTTCAGTGTACAAGTATATCCACCCTTTTTTTTTATTTTTTTTATATCCTCTATTATACAACAAAAGGCGAGATGTGCTTTGTACTGACAGTTGCTCTGAGAACTGCACTTGCAGATTGTTGTAGTTACAGCAAATTCAAAGCTGGAGTGCAATGCCTGCTTCTTTATTGCAGATGGAAGGATTTGCTCAGAAAAAAAAATAAAGAACAGGCTGACTTCCATGTCATAACAAACCAGACCTGAATCTGATTTAGAGAAAAGCTAAAATACGTGAGATTTGAGTCTTGTTAAAACTCACCAAAAATAAAGTCCTCACAATTAATATAAACTAATATAAAGCCTTCATGTGTGTCTGTGTTAAGACTAATTCTTCTTTGAACTTTTGTTACTGGTTGTTTTTCCTCATGGTAGTGATTCCTGATGAAGGAATGCGAGGACTCTTAAATCCCTCTGGAAAGACAATAAATCAAAAAGTTAGTTTAAGTAAAATTTCATAGCCATCTTGTTTTCTGCAAACCTTTAACCAAGTTTTGCTTATTCACAAGCTTTGGGCAAACAGCCTCATGTTTTCCAGCATTAATCAGAACAATTCAGGCTACAATCACTCTGAAACAGAGAAGGGGATCTTGGTGCCTGAGTAGGATCTCTGGGCTCCAGCTACCACTCTAGAAAGCAAGTCTCACACAGGTTTTGCCACGTCTGTGATCCATGTGGACATGTCTCCAACAGCATGCCATGTCCAAGGTGGCATGAGAGACCTGTGTCTGGCCACCAGAATAGTTCTCAAGGTGTCTAGATAGGAACTGTCACTAAAATCCCCTCCTAGGAAGGGCTTGTCATGTTTCATTTTTTCCTCCCCACCTTGCTTGATCAATGTGTTCTGATGTTTTTATGACATTTGTTCTTGACCTACAGAATTTTCACATCATTCCTGACCTCAAAGAGTTTTCTGTGAAAGGTTTCTAGATTTATTTTTGACTCATGCAAGCCTTTACCAATTACTTCTACACCTTGATCCTGCAAGACAAAACCCTGCTTCCAGGTGTAGTTAGGTTTTGCTTTGATTTGTTTGCGATATATTAAAAAAAACAATCAAAATTTGGAGTTCAATCCTTCAGCACTGGGCTGAATGCCCAAGCTTAGTAAATTTGTTCTTCTCTCTTTGCTCATTATACACTCTGTGTTCAGCCTAGCACCACCTAACAAGCAGTCTTCAATCCCTTATATAACTCATGAAAACTCTCACTTTAATAAAGGCATTGAGAAAGCTGTGGTCTGAGAGCAGAATAATATCTGGCCTTTCCTAAATTTCTCTCCAGTGGTGATATTGACTCTCTCTGTGACCTTGGAGAAGTCATTTGGATCTAAGTGCCCTTGGCTTCAAAAGCATTTAGGTCATATGAAATGAGGCTGATGGCCCACATGTCTGTCAGGAATGAGTGGTGAGGAGAAAATGAGCCAGAACTTTTTTATTTAAGGGTTTTGTTTAAAGGAGCTGGAAGACATACCTTTCAGTCTGGTAGGGATTCCAGACAGAGTCCAGAGTGCAGACAAGTTTGAAAGTTCATGTGCAACTGTGCTTGCAGAGCAATTACCAAGTAAGTGTCTGCAGAAATCTCTCCTGAAACTGATGCTGATCTCTGTCTTTCTTTGCATGCAGGGTGATGACAAAGAGCATATGAATTGGAGCAGGACAGCAAATCAGCGAGACCTGTGAGCACAGAGATGACAGAGCAAAATTCACAATGTTTTTGCCTAATTGGAGAAAAATTGTAATTCATGAGAGACAAATACAACCACCTGTGCTTAGGAGTAATTGTCTGTCAAAACACAGAGTGGGGAATGAGTGATTGGAAAATGATATTTAATTAACCTGGGATATTTAAGTTCTGAGAAGAACTTAACCTTCATGCCAGTTAACACTGTTGCAAAAAGGGCAAGTACTGAAAGAAAACATGTGAAAAAGAATAGAGGATACAAGCCACCTGAGATATTCCTTCTTTGGATTCTTGTAAGGCATCAGTTGATTTACTGTATTCATTTCCAGGTACAGAGCATGAAAAAATAAGTGTGGGAATGCTCAGAGTCTGAATAGCATTGCTATTCTAATTGATCGAAGTGACACAGTGTAGCGGATAAATTCTTAAAGAATTCCAGTTTCATCTCCTGGTAGCTAACTTGGATGCTTTCAACAATTAGCAGGGCTTTGAAGGAGGACTGAGAATCCTCTGAATCTGCCTGTTCTGCATAATAGACTACTTGGGCTTTTCCAAAATATATAATTGATTAAGTTGGGGAAAAAGGAAAATTCCACTTAAGGAACATTTACAGTATTGTTTCAGCAGAGACGCAATTGCCCTTCAAGAGGAAAGAAGGGAGAAAGAATTTAATTTTTCAACATTTTCTTTTGATGTGTATATTACTTTTCACATCTAGAGTTAATTGCTTTAAAGTGTGATTCTGGTCTCTGGCACCGCAGGAGCTCTGTGTTTATTGTCAGCCTTTGGTTCCAAGAGCAAGTTTGAAAGGGAATGAACAAATAAAGACAGATAAATAAATCTACCTATCAATCACACAAATTCATCTTTAGTCAAGATTGGCTCTTTTTTTTCTTTCTTCAGTTACAGTGATCACTACAAATGGCATTCTTTCTCATGATTCTTATTTTACTTCTTAATTGCCCTCAAAGTTACTGAGTGTTTTTCAATAAATTCTTTTCTTTTGCCATCTTATCATGTACAGTTATCTTGATCTCTGGGTGGTGCATGGCAAATAAAGATAGGATGTAACCTCAGAAAAACCTTATCATAAAGTTATGAGAACCATGTAGTACCAGAAAATATCTAGTAGAAACAGAAGAGACATCTTCTGTGACAAAAAAAACCAACAAAAAAACAACAAAACTTTGGTTTTAGAAAGAAAGTGGAGAGAAATCTGTGAGAAAGGGTGATACCAGCACTTGTTTTACCATTGCTGTTAGCATAAAACTTCAATTTCTGACCAAACCCCCTAATTGTTACAGGGTTCTTGTGTGACTTTTGTGCACAAAACCCAACTTGAATGAGGCAGAGAAACAGTGTCCACTGGTAAGACCCCTTATGTGAAGCAATAGGAAAATACTGGGAAATCTGGGTCTTGCCAAGTGTCAGAGACTCTCTGTAGGTCAGCAACCAACTCTGTTTGGAGAGGTTGCAGAGCTAAACAACAGCACAAAAGGGCAGAAATTCCTGCAGCAATATATGAGTAAAAAGTTAAGGATATTTAGATGCTTAATTACCTCACAGAAATTGCTCCAAATCCCTATTGTGCTTCTTGGACAAAGCTCCGGAAACTGAGAAACTTTGCAATTTCTCACAGATCCTCTGAACCGTGTATTTAAGAGGCTTACTCTAGACCTTGTTCAAAGTGGAACGTGACATAATATCTTGATTCTCTTTGAGAGAGTGCAGGGATACAATACAAATGCATTTTCAGCTCTCTTGGTCAAATCAGAACCCCTTACTTTCCCATTACTGGGGTTATAAACTTTATGCAAATTCGAATAAAACTGAATACATATGATTAACATTATTAGTTGGGCTGTGATAAAGTTGATACAGGAATTGCTAGATGAAAGATGAATCAGAAGTTTGTGTTGAATATTTAGGAAGAGCTTAAGACCATTAGCTCCCAAACAGTGCTGGGCTGTCAGTACCAACAATCTGAGAACAAAAGGTTTTAATCTACAATTCTTTTTGAACTGAAAATTTACAAAGAGCAAGTACTGCTGTTAGCTCTAACGGAGATGAAACCAGAATAGCACTAGGTCAGTACACAGCGCGATTTGTGGTGCTCCCACTTCTGCTCTTGGCTGAAACCATCCCAGATTAGATGAAAGGGCCTGTGCCTGGTGCTGACAGTGCAGTGCAGTGCTGGGGGTGGTAGGGGTAGCTGCTGCACTGTAAGAAGGCAAGTTGTTCTGAGGACATATTAAATTGAGGATCTGTTTGGTTGCCTACATGGAAATTAAAGATCCCAAGACAAGTTTTTAGAAGAGCGGGAGATAAACCAAACAGTGATTTGCCTTCAGAGCTACTGGCCTATTCAAGCATCAAACTCATTACTTTACAAAGCTTGTGGGAATACTTGCACAGTGTATGAAGTGCACTAATCCATCTATTTTTTTCTTTATTTTATTACCTGGAGCTGTGTAGGTTACAGAGTCTCTCAACTCTGTCACAATGCTTAGGTTGATTCTGAGCAGACCGAAATCCAATTCAAAGCCAAATCAAAAGATCTCTGAAGCACAGAGAAATTTTCAGACCGAACCAAGAGTTTTACAGACATACCAGTGTCATTTGTCTTTTTGTGTTTGTGATTTGAGAGCAGTGATACCCTCCACAATCACAGCTGGACTCTCCAGCATGTCCTGTCCCCCACACTCCCTCACAGCTGAAGTGGTGGCAGGTATTCGAGAGCCACTTACAACATGTCTCAACTGCAGGTGCTGAGTACCAGCCAGGTGGCTTAATTTTCTATTGACTTTATTTCAGGGCACCTGTCCAAACGATGCTAAAATCTCAAAACTGAAATAAGATGATCTTAACCCTCCTTAATGAAAAAATAAGTTTTTTACTTTGTGACAGCACACTTGCATTCTGTGGTGCAAGCATAAAGGCAAGTGGGAGTTATCTCAGGGCTCAGTTCAAAAGACAGGCTTGTTTGGGGAAGCAAATGGCAGAGGAGTTTGTGAAGGATCCTGAACTCTGATCCTCCTAAAATCCATTGGCTTTATGGGTTACTTTTAAGTAAGAATATACTGCATATTTGGAATGTCAAAGGTTTTATTGTCTATCTCCTAAATAATAAAGATAGCTTTTGAACAACTTGGGGAAAATTTTTAATTTTATATGCACTCCTTGAATTTTGACCTGCAGAGCAATGTGTAGCATTCTAAATTACAGAACATTAAAGCACTTGGTACTTTTCATAATAGAAAAGCATAAAAGTTGAAAGAAAATATCCATAAAAGTTAATTAAATCAAGAAAGGTATTAATATGATAATACTTAATGAATAAAGTTGTCAGTATCAGGGAAGCAGGATACTCAATATGTGGAAATAAAACTCTCTAGAAGACAAAATACATGAGATATGAGAAGAGTTCTCTACTTAGATCGGAGAGATAACCACTGTACTCTTCTGTAGGTCAGATCCTTTTGGAACATAAATCAGAAAAACTTTGGCTGTAACAGAACTATAATTATTTACTGCAACTGACAATCTGTTCCTAATACTTTTTGCAGTGAGCTAAGTATAGCTTATGAAACAAAATTAAATTATAGGTTGCACCTAGGTGTACTTTTATGAGTTTGACATTTTTTGAAATTTTCTTGTCTGAAAGATGCAGCCAAAGGGTCCCTAGAAATAACTGTTTCTCCTCAGAACTGTCTAAATTGTTCCCATCACATAAGAAATGACATTGAACTGTTTAAAATATTGAATTAGCCCAGAAAGAAAAATTTGGCTATCTTAGCAGTTATCCTAACCACTGGCTTGTTTAGAATTAGATGGGATTTGCACTGTTAATTGGGAAACTAGAGTTACTGACAGCATTCAAGGAAATAAGGAGCAAAAGTAATGAACTTCACCCAAAATCCAAAATGTGTGGCAAAGATACAGAAGCATTGTTAATACTGTAGCTCCAGGCATATCCTTACTGGAGTGGATACATTGGTGTGGCAGAAGTGACCTGTAGATTTATAAGCTAAGAATAGAAATTTCAGTGGAGGGTTTCTTTCAAATATCTTCTGGGCCTGATGAAGTCTGACAAAGCTTGGTTCCCACTACACTCTGTGTGAGAGGAACACCTGCAGAGTAACCATAGGGAGGCAGTTGCTGTTGTACTCACTGGAACTGCTCACGTTGGAGCACACTCATAGAAATAATATTTCTTGATGTGTGTTTATTTCCCACTGGTACACTGTGTTGCATTATGATAGCTTTGCAGTCACAGTGTGCTTGTTCTGGTTGAAGAAGCACATTCATTATAAGCTCTTCTTTTCAGATGCTTATAAATTTCTGGAAAAGACTAATTCTATGGCCTGACATTTCCTTTGTTCCTGACAAACAAAAGGTGCTGATTGTTTCCACTCTTTTTCCTTATGTATGTATTAAAACTTATTTGTTGCTTTGGAGTTAACAAGCAAATAAAACACATCCAGTTGGTTATGACATATTCAAATAATATTTTTATCCATAGATAACTCAAACTATACTGAATTTTAACATATCATATTCTGTCTTAAGTGGACATCATCAGGATAAACTCTGTTGTGGAAAACTGGAGAAAATTGAAAAAAAGCTTGCAGTGATCAGAAAACTCTCATGTTAAATGTCATCTAAGCTTGATCCAGGATTCAGCCAGTTTCAGTCTTTCTTTCAAGTCATAAGCATGACATTTCCATTTTTACAGAGAGCAAATTTTGTTGGCTTAAATGAATTGAGCATTTATCTTTTAATCCCTACTATATGGTTTTCCTGAAAAACTGAAGCAGATTTTTGAGGCTGAGTATGGCTTTCAAAGTTTGGCTCTGTTGGCTGTTCATCTGTCTTCACTTGTTACAGCGCTAAAATCCTGATTTCCAATATATGCTTTGTGTGTCTGCCACCGCTGACATGTCTGGAGCATCACTCTCTGAAGCACAACAGCAGTTGTTTAAGAGGTGTCATT